ATATGGTAAAGAACTAGCAAATCTAATTGTCAAAATTTATAGAGATATTTTTATAAAAAAATCATTCTTAAAATAAATATAGACAATAATACAAACGTATGTTTTGTAATTTAAGTTACATTGATAATTTAAAAATATTAAATTAGGAAAATAGTTTCAATCTCAAAAACTTGCCTTTTATGATTATTTTAATTGTATCATTTAATCTAAATATATATATTATATAAGAGTAAAATCTATTTACATATAAATTTTATACATTATATTTACATAACATTTCAATCATTTACCTTTTCATATTCAATGATTGACATTTATTTATATTTATTAAAGATAATTATTTTTTTCACTTAAAAAGTTATGATAAATGTTAACCATTGAAAAGAGAAAATAAATAATTGAGATTTTATATAAATATAATATATAAGATTTAAGTATAAATAGATCCTTCCTCATCATATAGTATTACTATAATGGTACAAAAAATACGATTAGTGTCTATAAGTAATATCTCAATAAAATTAAGAAAAACACACTAAAATTATATTGTTCTAATAAAATATTATAAAAAACTAAAATATCTTGATTAAAAAATAATTTTTCAATTGAAGTTTAATTTATTTTATTTTATTTTCAATTGAGTGAAATTGCGGCAATTGGGAAAGGGAGATGAGCATACAAGGAAGTTGAATTCCAGTGACGTAGGTATAACACCCACATAGTTATTACACAAGTCATGAGCTAGCCTTCTCCTATTAAAGTTTATTACAACAACTAGTTTTAGAAGTTTTTATCCTTAATTTTTAAGATGTAGCAGATGATAAATAAATTTTTTTAAATTATTAAGTGTTATTTTAGTTTGTGTCACATGTTAAAATTATAACAATTTTACTTTTATATTATAAATTATATTAAAAACTAAAAATTAATATTTAATTTATTAATTACGTAATTTAATTCATCAATTTGATATCATCACTAAAATCAATATTATTTTTAAAATTTTTAATATGCATTTATGACAATAAAATATTTTTAGCTTCTTCAATTAAAAAAACCCTAATATAAATTAATTTTTGAGTAAAAATTATAGTATTTGTATAAATTAAGAAAATATTGCAATAGAGTAGGTACTTTTAATTATTAATAAAAAGTTGGATTCCTTATATGTATATTTTTTATTTTGAGTGGTACGAAAAACAGATAACTTCTTTTTATTTATTTATTTTTTCTAATATTAGTCAAACAATTAAAAGTATTTATCTTTCATCTTTTATCATACTCTATTTATGATTCAAATTTAAAATTTTTTATTTTTAATGAAAAAAAAGATCACTAAATTATTTAAATCATTAATAAAGTTTTTTATTTTTTAACTCACTCAATTTATATATTACATAATTTAAATTTAAAATTTATTATTTTTATAAAAAAAATTATAGTCAAACAATTAAAAGTATTTATCTTTCATCTTTTATCATACTTTATTTACAATTCAAATTCAAAATTCTTTATTTTCAATGAAAAAAAAAAGATCACTAAATTATTTAAATTATTAATAAATTTTTTTATTTTTTAACCCACTCAATTTATATATTACACAATTTAAATTTAAAATTTATTATTTTTATAAAAAAAATTATTATTAAATTATTTAAGTTATTAGTATACTATCAATATTCTTAATTAATTGTCAAGTGAGTGCAGGACGGACTGACTTCTTTTATATGATAAATTAATGTTATGTCGTCGACCTTAGATCTTAAAAAACCCTTGTTGGACGAGTTCTTTTATGAAGTTGCCCCCGAGGTTTTCCCCGGGAAGACCTGGGGATTTCTAGAATAATCGGGAGGAGCTTCATCATCGCCGGCAATCCATCGTCTTCCGTATCCGAGGCTGCCATTTCCATTTTACATTGTGATCTAATGTTTTGAGGTAAGCTCCCCTGACGTCTTTCTCCTCAGTTCGTTCTTGGCTTTGTAGGGTTCTGAATTTTTTCCCTTCTTGATTATTCTTGTGTTTCTGTTGGAAAAGGGTTTTCTTTTTTATTGGGTTACTTTTGTTCTTGCAGGTTTTGGGGATTTCTGGGTAAAAGTCTTTTTGTTAAAGACTTGGTGTATCTTTGCAATAAGATGTCGGTTTTGGATAAAAGTGATTCAATTTGCATTAGGGAAGTTTGGGCTGATAATCTTGAGTGTGAAATGAAATTAATTTGTGAAATTGTTGATAAGTACCCGTACGTTGCCATGGATACTGAGTTTCCAGGTATAGTCTTGCGCCCAATTGGAAATTTTGAGAGTAGCAATGACTACCATTATCAAACTTTGAAGGCAAATGTTAATCTGCTCAAGTTGATTCAATTGGGTCTTACATTCTCTGACCAGCATGGGAATTTTCCCACTTGTGGAACTGATAAGTGCTTTGTGTGGCAATTCAATTTCCGGGAGTTCAATCCAAATGAGGATGTGTATGCAAGTGATTCCATTGAGCTTTTGTCGCGAAGTGGCATTGATTTCAAGAAGAACAATGAAAGTGGTGTTGATGCTAAGAGGTTCAGTGAGCTATTGATGTCCTCAGGGGTTGTGATGAATGATGATGTGCATTGGTTGACGTTTCACAGTGGATATGATTTTGGCTATTTGGTTAAGTTGCTTACTGGAAAGAATCTTCCAGACACACAGGCAGTATTCTTCAATTTGATCAAGAAATTTTTCCCTAATGTGTATGATATTAAGTATCTATTGAGGTACTGTAATAACCTTCATGGTGGGTTGAACAAGGTTGCAGAGATCTTGGGAGTGCAGAGGGTCGGTGTTTCTCACCAAGCTGGTTCAGATAGTTTGCTTACTAGTTGTACATTCATGAAAATCAAAGAAAAATACATTAGTGGGTCACCAGAGAAGTACGCTGGAATTTTGTATGGTCTTGGCGTTGAGAGTTAAGAATGATGAAACACTGACTAAGAAAAAAAAAATTATGAGATAAAATAAAAATAAGATCTCTTCTTTAGAATATATCTGTTGCTGTTCCCATTTTTCATATTTTTCTCCTCTTTTCTTATTTTCCTCTATATTTGTCATTCATTTTCTTTATCATGGATATCATTGTGTGTTTTGTGAAAACCAATCTGAGCCTGATTTTGATGGCATGGCTAAGATAATTTTAGTTCTGTTGCTAGGTAGATTTATCATTGCCCATACACAAGTTTCACTACTTCAGTTTGTTTTCTTTTAATTTTGTTTGTGAAAGTGATTATAAGTTTTCAATAAATTCAGTCTTTCATCCAGGTTTGTATCTTTAATGAATTTACTTTAACAAAGCAATTATATTTGTAAAGAAAGCTTTTTCTCTGCTGGTTAGTTGATGGTCTGATTATGCTGCAGATAACTAGCTTTCTTGTGTGGTTAATTTTGACCTGCAGTTGTAAAGTATGGCATTCATTATTAGTAAATTCCACATTCATGGTTAATCCTACTGGCTGTTTGATGAATTCTGTTTTGTAAATTATAATTTATTCTTTTTATTCCTAATATCCACTGTTGTATACTTCCCTGAGATAAGTTAAAAATTCCATGGGTTGCTTTTTTCTGGTGGTTTATAGTTTCCTGTAAGCATTCAAAGGTTGCTTTAATAGTTATCTGGTAGAATTCTCTATTGTTTTTCCATTTTAGGGCTTCTTTGATCTTGTTACCTTTAGATTTTCTTCCACCTATCCCAGCTTATGTACTTGCAGTCTTATTCTCTGTGTGGCAATTGGCCTCTTCATTCTTCATGAGTACAATGCATCATAATATGCTTTTATTATAATTTCTGGAATCTTGCATTTTTGTAAATGCATATCCCTGAAATGAATTTTTTTCTGCTACCATAAAGTTTCTAATAATTCTAAAACTTAGCTAGCTTTTTCATTAAGTAATTATTGGAGGTGATGTACTTACAGGATTTGTTGGAAAAACCCTTTTGGTGCATCTGCTCGTTGTTCCACTATCTTGCACAGACGAATTAATTTTCCCCGGCAATATAAGTCTTTTGCAGTTTGCTATTTAAGCAAGCCAAATTACAACAAATATTGTTTGATATTGTAAGTTATGACCGTATTAGTAGTCTTCTTGTTAAATTTTGTTAGAATGATGTAAACAGCCTTTGTTTTGAAATTTTGTTTATTTGGTTTGTTTATTAATTTTGTTTATTGTAAGTTATGCAACTTGCTGTTGAATGCTTACCCAGAGAGGCATCCTGAGTTTAAAATCTAGAAGTTCCACTATCATTTAAGAAATCAAGCTTGGTTACACTCCCTTTAAGTCAAAGAAATTCAATTTCAATACAAACCAAGGTGGTTTTTGGTTTCAGCTGACAGTGATATTGACATATACCTTACATTGAGTGTTAATGGTAGCAATATAGGTATAGTTTGTCATGGTTCAGTATACCACTGTCATTAACCTACGGGGAATTCAAATTTGCTTGGAAGCTTACAGGCTCGGCAAGTAGTGTTCTCATTCGAATGACAAACCAGCTACAAAATCACCATTCTCTGCCTTATGTTTGAGGATATTGATAAGCAATAGATGAGATGATCTTGGCGTGACAATCAACCTAACCTTGCTTCCCTTTGTAACACCTGGTTTAAAAGAGAAGAAAATGGGATTGAATTCTTAAGACGCAATTCAAAGTAGAAGGAAAACAGGGAAAGAAAAACAAAGAAAAAACAGGCGCAGGTTTTCGAGAATTCTAAGAACAATTTAAGAAATGGTTAAGTTAAAACCCACCTCTTCTGCAAATTTTATTAAAATGGTCGTTCGAGGTCGTTGCTGTCCTTCCATAGGTACAAAATGGGCTGTTACAACAGCTGGGAAACCTGCGCTATCCAAAACACCCTTCCAAGCAACCAAAAGAACCAATAAGAGCTTCCATCCATTAGATGGTTGGTCATTTTTACATGGAAATCAACATAGAACTTACCCTTACAATTCCAGCAACAAAGGCCCCACAATTAAATGTTCCCATGTCTTTTGGAATTGAAATAAACCTATACCACAAAAATAATCAGTTGGTCCTTTATCTTGTACATTGACATTATGGATTATAAGGGCAGCTAAAAGTAACCTGTTGACAAGGAGTTCCTTCTCACTGATCATGTATTCATCCTCGTGTTCAGTGCCTTTCTCAAGTGAGTCAGCTACCTATGGTAATAACAAAGAAGCTGATAAGAAAGATTTTAAACTTTCCATTCTTTAAGCATACATCAAAAGTGTTAGCAAGCTAAATCAGCCATTTTTTTCTTGCCCTATCTTCTATCCATGACATTTAGAAAGGGTACAAGAAGAGAATCCCCAAATGGTGCCATGCTTCTAAGTGTTCTTCAAATTTTAAACAACCTGTTTAAGTACCCAGTGTACAAAAATCCATAAAGATAGAAATTGTCATACAAAAACCATTGAACTTCAATCAAACAGACACATAAATATAGGTACTTACTATAAGCACTTACCTTTCCAAATAGCACCTTCCATACGGTACTGTGTACAAAAGATAAAATACCCAACAAGCGCGTTTCTCTTCTGTTTCCCTGTCATTGACAAAAGCATAAGCAAAGAATGGATACAACACCAACACCATATGGGAATACAAATTTTCAGACATACGAGCATGAATATTCATGCACAAGTTGCTGAATTCGAAGGTGAAAAATAAAAATAATTGTAAAATAGATAACATTACCACATATTCCAAGGTGAGCAAACCACCATGATTCAAGATCAAACCTCAAATGTAAAACATATGTAATAATTTAGACATTTAAAACTCCCAAATCATTTGGTGAGTTTTATTGTAAAAATGCAACAGAAGTATACTCCTTCTAAATTCTAACTAACAACAGTGCTTGATTGACAAATCAAGATTGCAACTAAGACCAGTGTTATGATGCAAGAGTTGCTGTTTACCTTCTCCCTATGGCAAAGGAGTTCAAGAACTCTTGCACCAACTGCATAGCCTGCATCTTCCAGCCTGCTCCATATCCATGAAGATCATTAGAAACACTGATAATACAAGGTATTAGGCAAACAAATGTTAATGGAAGCCAATGGACAACAACATGGGTATGAGTCATATGTCCCCAATTTCTTCCTCTCTTTCTGAAACCCAGATGCAAATTCTTTCTATATTCGGTTATTGAGGATGCAGCAAAATGTAACGAACAATGATCTAGAAGTCTACTTTTTCAACCTTTGGAAACCAGGACCACTAAATCCATGATACCACCTGAACTAAGCATTGTACAACGACTGCTTATATATATATAGATATATAGACATATATATAAAGATCTTACCTTTCCCAAAAAAAAAAAAAAAAAAAAAACATTATTTCTATGTTTTCCTTTATCAGCTTTGAGGAAACAGTTGTGCATAATATGAAACAATAATATGCATTCATGATGGTAAAATAAATTACCTTCGTTCTAATTCACCAATGTTATCCACCTGAGTTTGATTGTATTGAACAAGCTCTGAGAACAAAAATGCAAATGCACTTAAGCTGACCTGCAACAAAATGCCCGACCAACCATCAACTTTGATAAAATTCCAAACCAAGATCAGCAGGCAATTGTTGCAGAGGTAACAAAGTAAAGAAGAAGCAAACTAAATCCTTCGAAGTTAACCTTTTCAGTTAGTTTAAAAAAAAAAAAAAATCAGCAGATACCAACTAGAGGATTATCATTGGGGGATTTGACAAAACAATCAAAAAGTGAAAAAATAATCAAACTTTTGATTGCAACACGAATCATATAAAACAAAAAATCATGGAAAACATTTAAGATCTGTAAATATCTCAAACCGCAACTTTTCACTAAAAAAGATGAGCAAAAATGAAATCAAATACAAGCTAAATCTCAGTTTCTGATAATTAGGACCTTGTAAATTAAAAGATCTCCACTTTGCTGAGCTAACCATCATACCCATCGTGATCAATCTATGTGACATTATGTAACGCAATTTTTCAAAAAAAATTCAAGGAAAACAATCTAGCTATTCAAAGTCTCAGAGACTTCTCTTTTCCAACATTTCCCATGGAAATGAACATTAGCCAGGCCAAGTGAACGAAAAGGTTAGATCTTGAACATTGAAAAGAAACAAAAAGAAAAATTGACATCTTCGAAGGATCTAAAACCAGATTTCTCACTGAGAATATGAATAAAATACAGCTAAATCAAACAAGGAAGGGCAAAGAGTCTGACCTCCTGTTTGCCCTTGCTGAGGGGCCTGTCGAGGACGTTCGAGTATTGCTTGATCTTCCCAACTCCGATCATTTTAACTTTCTAGGGTGAGAAGGACCCTGCTACTGAAGCCTAATTTCTGTATTAATCCGTTTGGCTGCCGAGAAATTGCAGGAAAGTAGATCTGCGCTAGGCTATCTGAATGTGCTCCTTTATTCACTGAGCCGTTTTGAACCGGCAGTTTGATTGGATCAGACTCGGTTAAAGAGTAATTTACCGGTTAAATCCCCGGTTCAGTCCCTCAGCTTTCATTTTTAACTACATTTGCCCTCAAACTTCAAAAAGTACTAAAAAAATCCTTAAACTTCAATTTTGGGGACCAATTTTGTCCTTCCGTCAACGAAAGTGCCAGATGGCACGTTAAGTTGCCACGAAATCAATTATTGTTGAAAGCTTTAATTACATGGAAAATAACTTAACTCACTATGGTATTTTTATTGTTCATGTCATTTTAATTAAATTATATATTAAAAAATATAAAATTCCTTAAATACCCCCATCTTCATCTTCCAACCCCTCTTTTTCTCCTTTCTCGTCTCTCTCTATCCGTAGATGCCTCTTCATCTTGTAACCCACTCAGCACTGATCATCCCTCATTACTCCGATCATCTGTTATCACTCCAATCACCATCTCCTTCTTCCCCAAACCTCCTCTCTAATGGAACTCAAATCTGGTTCCTCGCAAAATAATAATGGCCAATAGATTTGGTTCAAAAAATCAATTACACTGCAAACTTGTACTAGATCTGTAAAGGTTCAACAAATCAATCATATTGCAAACTTATACCAAATCTGTAAAAGAAAAGGAAAATGCAAAAAACACAACATCCCTTCAATCAACACCAAAAGTAGCTAGATCTTGAAATTCAAGCAAGCAAAAGCCACACAAAACTCTAAATCCCATACCAAGATAGCCAAACATGACTGCAGCCAACAAAGAAACAGAAGAAAAAAGAACAAAATGAGAACCAATGAGAAAAAATCATGGGATTTCTTTCAAAACTACCAAAAGAGAAAAGAAGAAGCAAAAAGCAAGAATAAAGAAGGTTCCAAAGAACCCAAGTGTGCTGGGTTCAAAGGTACCTTTCGCCTAGGTTCCATCAAACCCAGGCATGCTGGGATGCTGGGTTGAACCCAGTAGGTAGGGGAAGGAGAAAAGAAAAGAGAAGGAAAAAAAAAAAAGAAAGAAAGGAAAGAAATTTTTATTTAATAATTATTTATTAAATTATATTCATGTTGCCACGTTATAATATTTTTATAATTAAAAGATGTCATATCACCTATTTTATTTCCACTTAATATTCAATATTGATAGAAATTAAATTTTTTAACAAAGAATTTCGCCATATCAGCACTTAACTGATACAAGGACAAAATTGGTCCCAAAAATTGAAATTCAGGGATTTTTTTAATATTTTTTTAAGTTTGAGGGTAATTTTAGTTCAAAAATGAAAATTAAAGGACTAAACAGGGGATTTAACCTCTTTCCATATGTTTGGGTTGCTATAAATGGGATGGGTTGAGACTTGAGAGCAATAAAATGGAGAAGAGGGAAAGGGAAGGGGAATAATGAAAAGATAAATAATTAAATTAAAGGAAAGAAAGAAAGTAAAGAGGTTTTTTCTCCTCCTTTCTCCTTTAATTTTTTTTTTAAATTAAATAGAGTAATTCTTTTTCTCTCATTAACTCAAATATAGAAAGTATAAATTAAGATATTTTATATTAAAAATATTAAAATATTTAATTTTACCCATAACTTAAATGAGACTTACATTATATCTTATTCATCATATAATTTTAATGAATATTTTGATATTTTTAATGTTAATAAGTTTTAAAATTTTGCATCCTCAAATATATATTTAAAAAGGATTGATGATAAAGATGTATTTGAGAAGGAATATATTTGGAGGTTCAAGTTATAGAAGCAAATATCTTTTTATAAATTGGGTTATAAATTATAATATTTAAAAATTAATATCAAAATTATAAATTATCGTACATAAGCAAAACTCTTAATACTTAAAGTTTATGACCATAAAACATAATTCTATATTAAGATTGTCATAATCTTTTTCCTCGTGAAATTAGAAATGTCAATTTAAAATATAATAACAACATTCAATTGCTTATGGGATCAATTGCCCAGTTTTAGAGGTTGAGAATATATATTAATGTAGTCACACAAAAAAAAAACTGAGGGTGAATTTTCCAGTAATCTTAAAAGACTGAGGACTAAATTA